ATTGCAGTAGTCGAGTCTACTGAAGATAAAAGCATGGACACGTTTTTCTAAATCCTGCTGTGACATTAGTCTTTTAATCCTAGATATGTTCTTTAGGTGATAGTAGGCTGATTTAGTAACTGTTTTAATGTGACTGTTGAAACTCAGGTCAGACTCCATGACGACACCTAGATTTCTGGCTTTATCTGTTGTTTTGAACATTGCAGACTGAAGCTCAGCGCTAACTTTTATACGAAAAAGCTACTCATTTGATATCTTAGTGGGACTAGTTAAATACATTCAGATGATTCTTTGTCTATACAATACATATAATAAAATCCATCAAAATGTCATATTTGACAAAGAAAGACCTGAAAACTCCATATAAACATAGGCCTATGCATAATGCTGTGCTATACTTTGCGGCCACACGCCGTTGCCAAGCAACGCTTATTGTTTAGGTCCTTTGATAAGCAGGCAGTCATATCATTAGCTAGAACTAGCTAGATCTGATAGATTTGGACATAAACGCGAGTGAAGTATAACCGGACGCGAGAGAGAGAGAGAGAGAGATCAGAGATCAGAGATCTGCTGCTGCTGACGGAGAACACCCAGCTCTGCACCGTTGAGCGGAGCCATTTGAGAACCACTGGCTTAGTGGGACTAGTTAAATACATTCAGATGATTCTCTGTCTATACAATACATATAAGAAAATCCATCAAAAAGTCATATTTGACAAAGAAAGACCTGATACAACTAAGAAAACGCCAGCAATAAAACATGAGATGTGGTTTAAGGCTCCAAAGAATGTTCTTCATTGATTGACAAACTACTCTTTCCAAGGCTAAGAATGAACTTGCCTGCTCAACTTCAGCTGCTTGTGTATCTGACAGTAAATCAATCAATAATCATGTTTCCCTCTCTTTGTTTCTTCTCTCCTGTTCCAGACGGGCAAATCTTCGGCTCTGTTTGGAGCGCTTGAAATCCCTCGTTCCCTTAGGAAAGGATGCCAACAGGCACACCACCCTCAGCCTGCTGATGAAGGCCAGAGAACATATCAAGGTGTGGGGCTTTAAAGTGTCATGGTGTGTAATAATGCAGAGGTTAAAAAGCACAGGTAGGTTTATCGGTGCATCTCTAACTAGAAGACATCTACTAAAGACTAGAGGGCAATCTGTGAAGTGCTGTTTCGGGGGAAGGAAGGTGGATTGTTTTGGATGTGATGAGGTTTACTTTAAGGGTTGAGTTTTGACCGCTGTGTTGTTCTGCTCCCTGCAGAGGTTGGAGGAGAGCGACAGGAGAGCGCAGCACACGATGGATCAGCTGCAGAGGGAGAGGAGGCACCTGAGGAGACGCCTCGAACAGCTGGGGGTGGAGAGGACCCGCATGGACAGCACCGGCTCCACCCAGTCCGACAAGTCCGACTCTGACCAAGGTACACACACACACACACACACACACACACACACACACACACACACACACACACACACACACACACACACACACACACACACACACACACACACTACTGTCGCAACGACTTTGCTCATATGCAATATACACTTTATACTATTAGCTGTTGT